ATACAACAACCTTCATTCAATTCTATCAATTATTTTTACAAAGACTATCATCTCACTATTTCATCATACAATGACCAAGTAACTCCATATGATAGTTATATAACACCCTTGTAATCGTTGTTCCAAGTGTTATGACATATTTTTATTGCTTAATTATGGTTCAAAGTACTAAAATTTGACATTTTCCCATTCCTAAATCGCTCAATTTATCGATTAGCCAATCATTGAAGTGTCATATGTGGCAACATATGCACGTTCTGTTTGATAAATCGCAACAGACATGTAATATGTGGCAACATATGTATATCATAAAATGGTCTTTTTGGGGTTAATTCAGCATGTAATGTAACGGATCATTCTAGAATACTCCGCTAACACACACTCCACTCAATCTCACTCATTATAAAAGGGTTAATTAGGGTTCCTTTTATTCTTTCTCCTCTCCTCCTCTCCTCCTCTCATCTCACTCAAATTTCCCTGAGAAGATGTTACCACCTTGGACAAATTTAAGTCTCTGCATGCTCTTGTTGTGGGTGATCAACGTAATTATGTTGTTCTGAGTTAATATGATGTCTTCTTCATGTGTCGTTCTCAGTGCATGGGTGATGTTCGTTATTTGTTTTTGTCGGATCTTTGTCTAATAGAGGGTAGCTTCATCATTTGGTAAGTCTTCTTACTTTATATATAACATCATGTCTACTGTAACGGCGTGTATAGGATAGTTAACTATGGCTATTTGTTTTTCTGTAGGTGGTCTTGTGACATAGTGCATGGGTAGCTCTGATCCACTACCCTTCAAGAAAGAATGGTGATGCCCCTCTAGGTTTAATCGCTCAATGTTGACTCTTGATCCTCCAGTCAAGTCCTTTTTTGCTGGTTAAAGTAGAAGTATAGGGCTAGAGCGTTTTAGATGTAAATTTTGTTGTTTTTGTTGGCGTTAATGCCTTGTAAATATGGATATGTAGCCTAGCCTAGCCTTGCATGTCACTATATCAACTATCAATGGGCTAGAGCGTTTCAGATGTAAATTTTGTTATTTTTGTTGGCGTTAATGCGTTGTAAATATGGATATGTAGTCTAGCCTAGTCTTGCTTGTCACTAGTTCAACTAACAACTATCAATGACATGTTTATGTTTATGTTTAATGTTTCCCAAGTTTATGTGCTTGAACTCCTCTCTATTGATGGTGATACTACTTGCATGTACACATAATTGACATATGTTGCAACAACTTAAAAAACGTAAGTACTTTATAAAAGTCATAAGCAAGCACAACCTGTCCTTGTCCCTTCAGGGACATCCGATTAAAAATAGGCAATCCCAACCTCTAAAACTGGCCCAATCGACCCATTAATTCATTTCTAGAAGGGATATATATATATAAAATAAGGTTTTCATTTTCATTTCAAAAATAGGATTTTCATTTTCTTCCTTGTCACTTCACTTCGGTTCCTCTTCGCACTTTCTCTCTCTCCTCTCTCTTTCTTCGCATGGATCTCGGATCTCTGGAGTGCATGGGATATAATGATGTTTTTAATTTCATCAGTATTTTCTGTTCTTTGTTTTTTTAACACACAACTAATTTGATTGGTCTTTGGTTAAACCAAATCTCAGCACTGTCATGTATTGTCAAATCAAGAAAATCATTAATTTTGAAATATAGACTAGGGTTGGGTAAGAATTTCTGAGTTCTTTAAATATAGATCAGTACTCTAGATCTAGATATAATGAATGAGTTTTGTTTGTTTTTGTTACTTTTGATATAATGCCAAATGCAATATTGAATCGAATTTGTAATGATGAAGATGATCCCATGTTGGGTGTGAAAATCTGTTGCAAACATGGAGACTTACTTTCAATGCAAACTTCATGGTCGAAGGATAATCCAGGTTGAAGATTTTGATCTTTCCACGGTATCATGTATGTACATTTCTACATCTTAGTCCCCCCTGGAGACTTCTCTTTATTTTGTTTTTTTTTTAATTTAAATTTCTTTGTGGTGTGTATTTTAGGAGAATGCATGCAACTTCTTTAGATGGAGGGATCGTGAAGATGTTGATATTCAATCCAAGTTCGTTATTCTGAGATTGGCGAACAGAATTAAGGAGTTGGAAATTGATGA